TTGAAATTCTGGCTGCAAATACTCAATGTCACGTTTAATGTTATGACACCGTATCTGACTTTCTATAAGACAGTAAATACAAAAACAGTAAAGAACACAGTCAATTGTTTACCCAGTTCAGTGTGCAACAACACCTACTCTGGGGGCTACCAAGCCAGGGAGGAAATCCACTATAAGAGATGTTAATTCAGGAATAAACCAACCAGTTTATCTCCTTCACTTAAGACCTACCCAATTCAATTTCAATCTAAGTACAACTTAAACCTGAGTTCCTACTCACTCCCCCTCAATCACAGCAGTGATACATAAAACAATTTAACTAATGAATTGATGAAGACACTCTTCAAAAACATACACTTGATTAAGCTTCACAGCTTTTTAATCAAGAAACACAACCACTCTTGCTTCACAGCTTTGAGTGATACACACACCTAACTTGACTCTGCTTCACAGCTTTAGTCAAGAAACATTCAAACACTCTTGCTTCAAAGCTTTGAGTGCTACACAACCCTTACAATTAAAAACCTATTCCAAGTCACTTATCACAATGATAATTGCTTGAAGTACAATAATTAAACCTATACAGTTTACAAATGATCTTCTGACCAAAAAGGGATTGCTTCCAAAACAGCAGCTCTGTTGAATATATAGCAGCTGCATCTTCAGTTAGGGTTTCCACAAAAAGCTAGGGTTAATTCCATTTGACCTTAAGACTAGGTCACAGGACTTTACCAACCAGGTTAGGGTTGAGCTAGGTTAACCCAAAGAAAACGCATGATTCTGTTCTGGAAAGACTGAGTCATTTTCCTGAAAAAACTCAGAATTAACCAATCTGCAAACCTGTTAGTTCAGAACAGGATGTCTTAACATCTGTTATGACATCTGAAAAACCTGTCTACTGATTTAGGAAAATGTGATCATTTTGCAAAATGCTCAGATACACACTTATAAACATCAATACCTGTATGACAATATTTTTCTGCAAAGGTACCTAATGAATCAGTACAAACTAAACTAGAATGTTATGACATCAGTCATGACATTCACACACACACTTGGGTTTTACCAAAAATGCAAGCCAATAACTAAACAACTACAAGCTGTATTGGGGAAAAAGTCAACCATGGCCAATTTACAGTCAAACCTCATAATTTTTTATCCATATCAACATTTTAAACTCATATGCATCATTTGATCAAGTTTGGACCTCAATTCCTCAAGAAATTTGATCAAATCTCCAAAAGGGTAAAATAGTCAAAATTAGGGTTTTGATTGGGAAAGGGAAATTTCTGATTTTTGACCTAGAAAATGGTCAATTGGTTTAAGGAATGATATCAAGAGTCCAATTGCATAATTTTGACCTAATGACATAGTTCAAAACATTGCAAGTCCATTGGATTGACAGATGAATTTTTCAGTCAACTGTATACTGAAAAGTCAAACTTTGACTTTTTGGTCAAATTCAAGTGTCGAAGATCACAATTCATCAAGAAATCAAAAAAAGTCAAGATTTAATTTTGAAAAGTCAAAATTTCTAAACTTAGAAATTTTTCTAAGTGTTGGGAATTTCATATTTTTTCACAACTTTGAACAAAATTTTCACCATGATGCAAGATGATTCAAGAGAAACTTCCAACATGAAAGTTGTAGATCTCCATGAAATTTATAACTTCGCTTTATACAACTCCTTCCAAAAGTGCTTGGATCTCAATTTATAATTTCAATAACATGTGGTCATGAAACTAAACACTTGGTAAAAATTTTCCCTAATTTGGTTAGGATTTTGACCCAACTTCATGGCACTTTTTCATATAGTTCCAAGGGGAATCTTCAAAAGCAATTCAAAGATGGGTTTCAGAGCACATTGAAAGCTTTCCAAAATGTCCAAGAACTCCTTGATATCATTTTTGAGTAGAGAGAATCGAAGAGATGAAGTTAAGGTTTTGTCACTTAATTTACAAGGCATTTTGTGATGAACCAAATTCAAAATTCAAACTATGCTGCATAAACACTACTTTGAAGACCTTAAACTTGTTAGACACTCCATAATTAATGATTTACACAGCTGTTAGAGGTCTCACTTCAAGCATTCAATGCATGGACATGCTTTATATCCATTTTTGGAAGTAAGGTTACATTGCCATTTTGATAAAGTGACTTTTTGTACAAAACTTTTTCTTGAGCCTTGCACTTGTTCTCTTCTTATCAAACAAGTCATATAACTCATGATAAATGATTTAGACACTTACAATCACCCATCCCATGCTTGTACCTCCTCTTGAAACTTGTTTTCCTCTTTTCTTTAAAATCAAGTAACCTAGCCAAAAGCTAAAAACTTGTACTTCTGATTGTCCAAAGCTCCCAAACACTTTTGTTTATACATACACAAACTATTGGCCACAAACACACGAATGCTCATACCCTGAAAACATCTATAACTCAGAATCACATTCCATATCTCCATTTTCACACAAACTGACCAAAAACTTGAAACTCATAATCTACTCGTGCGTTTCTTGGCCTTTTGGTTTCTAAAGCTTCTAAACATCATATAGAACTAATCCTACACCCTATTACAAAACTGTAACACCATTAACACCATCCTCCATTTTTAAAAACAGAGCTCTGCACATTTACTTCTCTAGACCTTTTCATCCATCCATTGCTCAAGTTAATCATTGCATTAGCTTCCTGGGACCTCAAGGAAGCTAACATGATTATCACCATCACTTGAAACAAGCTCAAACTCAAAACACGATTTCCAGTTTTGAGATAAGTTTTCTTAACTTTGAACTCTTCATACAAGCATCATCAATGATTTATTTGTGAAAAAAACATGTAGATATCATTGCCCTAAAGCTAACCATGTCCATAGTTTCCATTAATTTTGTTTGAGCTTAGAGAATTTTGAGACTGAAATCTCTGAGATTTTTAGGGTTCAGATTAGGGCCATTAAAATTCATGCTTATCTTTAATCTATAATTTTAATGCTTTACATTTCTGAAACCGTGAGGAAATTTGCTACAAGTTTCATGTTTACATTTCATTTTTGATGAGAAATGAGCAAGTTACAGTTGGTCTAGCTGGAGGTTGAAGATGAAGTCATCAGGGCGCGTTTTGTATCATATATTTATTGATTTGCTTATGTTAACGGATGTATAGTCACCCCAGTGGTAGAAGCGTGCGCCTGTAACCTTTGGGACCTGGGTTCGAGCCCCAGTGGTACCCTTTTAAATTTTTTATATTTTTGCTTTCTGATTTTTGTTTTTTTGGCAGGCGTTGGGCCTTGTTGGGCTCTTGGTTTTTTATTTTTGCTTACTAACCCCCTTGCAGGTTGTTCACGCCCATGTCCCAGTTTATTTTATTTTCTTATTTTTATTTTATTTATTTTCTTAATTAATCTCATAATATTAAAAAAATCATAAAAAATACAAAAAAATGATAGATTTATATTTTGGTTTAGTTTATTTTATTTTTTTTCACAAAAAATATTTTATTTAACTATACTTTATTTATTTTTCATAAATTATCTTGTAAATTTAATTAAAACTAGGTTAGTATTTATTTTTCTTTTACACCTATTAAAATATATTTATTTTAATATAAAAAAGGCCAAAAATATTTTATAATACTATAAATATTTTCAAGACAAAAATACCAAAAAATACTTTTTCTAAACTTATTTTCTTTAATCAATTAATGAATTAGGGTTTTATTGATTTCTTTTCTTAGTGAATTATGTTTGCTTTTAAGTTTAATTAATTATTTTCTTTAATTAATTATATTAAGACTAAATCTCTTTTTTCTAAAAAATCTAAACAAATATCCATTTACTTCACATTTTGCTTTTTTGTACATTTATTCATTTTGTACATTGTATTCATTTAATTCCTTGTACATTGATATCAATTCAATATGGTTGTAATATACTAACTAGGTTTACATTCTTGCAATCCCCATTCAATTTGTGCACCGCCTCCCACAAATGTTGTAATAGCGTAGTAACTTTAAATTTCGTCATTTATCGCTTTTATATACAAATGCTAGTAATTAGGGTTTGTATGGAAAGACTAAAACCAATACTTAGAAAACCCTAATTCAAGACAAAAACAAACATGAAAACAATACACTTGCAGACAAGCACCCCTAGGGTTATTCCACTTGATTGTCTTATACAAAATGGTCATATTACGCATGTAAGGTATCTTAACAAAAACAAGCAAATACAAGATCATAGTCCCTCGATGACGCTATCTATGTTGTCTTTCAAATGATCTTAGTCCCTAAAAAAGAATGTTAAGATACATTGCAACATTGCTAATCATGGTTTTACGATGACCCACGTTCGTCCCGTTTATATCCAAAGATAGGATTATTTACCAAATCAATGGTAAGATAACAATGTCAAAGGAAAAGAAAAATGAACAACAAAGACTTTTGACTAGGTAGAATGCTCCTAATTACTTGCTCGATTTCAAAACAAAACATCCTTGTTATTTTCAAAACAAACACCTACACTTTCAAACATCTTACAAACTTGAAAACATTTGCAAAAGATCAAACATCTTTATATACATTCTTACAAAACAAGAATCATTACGAAGATTGCCTAAACAATTGCCTCTTTACAAAATACTTTCAAAAATCACACAAAGCACAATTTCAAACAAATGGAAGTGATCTAGCAAGTAACTAAGAGCCCATGGAAAAGCGTGGATGAAAAGGATGTTAATACATTCTCTTTTCATAATCTACCCCCGAACTCAAGAAATAATCTCAAAGGTATTTCCTGTACTTTTTCACATTTCCTTTTGGATAAAAGAAAAGTCGATAACGACTTTTGCTAACCACAACATTTACGATCAAACGCAAAACCCTCAAGTCAATTATTTCACCGTATCACAATATCTTCTTAACCAGATTACCTTACCGATAAGATCTCTTAATTCCTAAATATACCTTATTTATGAAAAAAGTTCCCGACCCAAATTGCATAGGGTATGTGGGTTAAGGAAACAAATCCACCACACACACAATTTGTGAAACCCATGTACCATAAGGTACCGCCCCTAGATTTACAACTAGAACAAATAAATACGCATATCCATTCCTTATTCTTCTCCCTCTCTCTCATCTTCTATACTTTTTTTTCGCTATTCCTATTATTGCCACAACCATTTTTCAACCCTTTCCTCCAATTCCAATTCCAATCCCAACCATGCCTCTTCTCCCCCACCCTTCCCATGGCGGCGACCCTTTACCCAAACCCAACCCTGCCCTCCTCTCCCTCTTCCTCAAACCCATCATCATGCTCCTCCTCACCTCCCTCTTCTTCCTCTTCCTCGGCTTCGCCGCCTTCCTCCTCCTCAACCTCTTTCTCCTCGCCGGCGCCCTCCACCGCCTCCGCTTCCGTCCTACCCCTTCCTGCCGCCTCCAATCCCCCACCTCTCCCTTCCTCCCCCACGAAATCAACAACCTCCCCAACTTCCGCATCACCAAAACCTCCTCACCCGGACCAGACTCCCGCTGCGCCGTTTGTCTCGACGGGTTCCGCCATGGTCAGTGGTGCAGAAACCTCGCCGCGTGTAGGCATGTTTTTCACCGGAGATGTATTGATTCGTGGCTCGTCAAAGTTGCGACGTGCCCGACTTGCCGGACACCTGTTCGATCAAATGCGGAAACGAATCTCGTAACGGAAGGTTCTTCCCGGATTTGGAATTGCTCTAATATTTTATAGCTTTCTGAGTTTTTATTTCTTAAACTATGTAACATTAATGTTACATTTACTTTATGAATTGTATAGTAGTATAATAATAGCCTTATGTATGTATTGTAGCTTTTTTTAATATGGTTTTTACCATTTGGGGTTGGTTGGATATTAGGAAGTGGGGAAGCTAATTTACGAATATTTGGGTGATTATGCTTTGTAATCTACTATTCTCAGCTTAGTTTTTAATGGAAAACTTTACTACGAGTTCTATGACCCATAGATACAGATATGGGTATCGGTATGTTACCCGGTGCAGGTACAGAAATTGCACAAGCTTTTATGTGACTGTGATAGTTATTAAAACTTTGATCATAACATAACAGAAATGGCCATGACAATTATTTAAAATTTTGATCATGACATAACAGAAATTATGTATGATAGGGCTACAAAAATGGTATCCCTTCCTTGTATCCGAAGGTGCTGATACTCTTGTTCACCGGGATGAAAAAGAAATTGGGGTTGATTCACACTGCGACGACTCAATATTGCATCACAAAATATGTATCAATCGAAATCGGAAAAGCTATTACGCGACAGTTATTAGTTGTATTGAAGACACAAGTGGTATGATATTATCTATTTATTTGCTTGTAATCTGAATAACAGCAAAGGTTATGCAATAGTGTGTAGGGATTCTCAGCAGCTGTAGCAAACTTGTTTTTCTATTTCTAAACTAGGTTTGTGCAGTGTTGTTAACTAGTAGCTATAGCAGGCGCTGCAACTGACAACACTGGAGAAATGTTGAGGAAAAAGTAGTAATGCTCCAAGCATATGATCTTGTGCATGTTTCCAAGATTTTTAGTTAATGTTGGATGAGGATTGGGAAAAGTGATAGAGTCGTGATTCTGACAACGTTATCTATGTTGGAAAACCACTACATTGGATAACGTTATTATTGCCTATTGGCAGTCGTTGTGGCAACTTCTAAAAGACAAGAAAAACTGAGTGCCTATTTATTTTTGAAAAGTGGTAGCAGTGAAACGCACACAACGATATTTAATTAAGAAACACCTACTCCAAGATAATATTATTATTTGGAAATGAAGTTAGATATGGGACTCTACTGTTACACATAATTTTGTCCTCAAAAGTGAATAGTTGGGATATCGTGTATTCAAAAGTGAGTTTTTGATATTATTCTAGTAATTGAGTTGATTTAAGGAAATTATAATTTTTGAAAGCTGAATTTTTACTAATTGAGTTGATTCGACGAAATGTATTAATATATTTTATTTAAAGTTGAACAATAAAGTGTTTTATTTCTCAAATTAAATAAAGTAAAAGACTTAAATACATTTTTTGTCATCCTATTTAAGGTGATTTTAATTTATAATCTTCTTATTACAAAATTCAACTTTTTGATCCTTTAATTTTAATTTTTTTGGATTTTTATGATCCCCTTTAATTTTGTTTATGTCATCTTCGTTAAGGAGGTGATAATTTGACTTTGAATTCATGTCACCAAGTCTAAATATTTTAATTGAGAAAATATTTTAAATATTTTTTAATAAACATAATAATTTATAAATGTTATAAAAATCTAAGAAACAAAACATCACTATCTTTTCTCGTTTTCCATCCAGTTCATCATCCATGTTTCTTTAAGAATTCTAATCCCCCATTCACATCCATCATTTTTCAAATCGATTGAGTCTTTATCAAAACTCGTGATTCTGAATCATCATCTTGCACAATCACATCTGAATCTCCATTTTTTGAAGCACATTCAACTTGGGTTTCAAATTTCTTGCTTGCGAAGATGGCGAACTCACAATCTCAAAGGGAGAGCAACGAAGTCAAATAATGTGTAAGGTATGTTTCTTTGTCCCTTGTGCAAGTGTCAGTGGTCCACATGCTTCATTTTATTCATTCGTATTCAATGGTCCCCCGTGCTTTTGTTTTATGTATGCATTCTTGTGGTCTCGATTGTTATATTATCTGATTTTATCTCATTGTGGCTCAGTTTCTGTTAATGTAAAGCATTTTTTTTCTCAATTATTTCGCAAGTCAGCTAAGAGTAGTAAGATTAGGTTGAGATTACATTGTAGGGGAAGATTAGTGGAGAAACCTGTTAAGTGGTATGTTGATGGGGATGTTACTGAGATGAATTAGAGTTGGGATGTTGATTATATATCATACATATAATTAAAGGGTATGATTCAGAGTGAGGGCTACACTAATATAAAGTGTTTATGGTATTGGAACCCTACGTATAGCTTTTCTCGTGGTCTTAAACCCTTGAACAATGATTAAGATGTACTTCAATTTTTCAAAGATGTAATAAGGTATGATGTAATAAATGTATATGTGAAACACAATGTGAAAATTCATGATATTGTGGATGCTAGTGAACTAGATGCTAATAGTAAGGGTGATGGTGATGTACAATGCACTGGTTTTAAAAGTTCAAATGATATTGTTGAAGATGTTACTAATGAACATGTTGGTGATGCAAGTGAATCTGGGAAAGAGGAAAGTGAGTTAGGTACTAACAATGATGATGTTGGAGAAGTGAATGGTCCTAATGTTGATGTTAACAATGAAATTGGGGAAAAAAGGTATTGATGAGGATTATGTTGCAAGTAAGGGTAGTTTTGAGAATAGTGAGCTTCAATTTAGTGATGAATCTGAAGAGATGGACTAGACTAAGGTACTTCCCAAGAGACTTTAGGTGAGGTTTCTAGCTGCCAAAAACAGAAAGATCAAATTGAGATGGTTCATGAGGAGAGTGAGGATTTAGACCATTTATATACATCTTATGGGGGTGATGATGATGATGACGATGGAGGAATAAAGTACCATACTTATAAATCTAGTGAGGGAGTGAAGTTTCAGTTAGGGATGATGTTTACTAACAAAGATGTGATAAGGGATGTTGTCAAGGATTATGTTATGGAAAATAAAAAATATTTTTATTAAGAAGAATGATTCCAAAAGGATGATGATTAAATGCATGGATCGTTGTAATTTCTATATGAGATTTAGTAAAAAGACTGGTCACCAATGTTGGCAAGTAGTGAGTTTAATTAAAGATCATACATGCCATATGACTTCAGACAATATGAGTGCATAGACAAAGTGGCTTGCAAAAAAGTTTACAACATTCTTAGACATAACCCTCATATGAAACCACCAGGCCTCATAACTGAATCTATTGAGAGATGAGGATTAAAAATACCACATGATCAGGAATATAGGGATAAAAGGAAAAGCAATGGAGGTGGTTCAAAGGGTTGTTATTGAGCAATTCACTCACTTGAGAAGCTATGAACAAGAGTTATTGAAATCAAATCCTAATAGTATTGTTGTAATACAATGTGTTGAAAGTAATGGAAATCATGTGTTTGAAAGGATCAATGTTTGTTTAAAAGCTTGCAAGGAAAGTTTTACAAAGATGTGTTGAAAGTAATGGAAATCATGTGTTTGAAAGGATCAATGTTTGTTTAAAAGCTTGCAAGGAAAGTTTTACAAAGATATGTAGGTCACTTATTGGTTTGGATGCATGTTTCTTGAAAGGAAACTATGGTAGACAGTTGATGGCAGTAGTAGGGAGGGATGATAATAATCAAAGTTTTCCAATTACACATGCTGTTGAAGGTTCCTGCATGTCATTGAACTAGATCTCACTTTAATACAATACAAAGTGTGATTTACAGGTGAATAACATGTGTAAAGAATTCAATAGGGCAATATTAGAGCATACGGACAAGCCTATTATCACTTTATTGGAAGGCATCAGGCATTACATCCCCAAGAGGATAACTAGCCAACTGGTTATTAAGAAGAATAAGAAACAAGCACAAGGGTGGAGTCCTACATGGCATGGTGATTATGATCTTATTATATTTGGTGTAAACAATGGCATTTAGGCTTATTGTGTGGACCTAAAAAAGGAACTTGTTCATGTAGAAAGTGGGATTTGTCAGGTGTTCCTTGTTGTCTTGTAATTACTTGTGTATTGCACATTAAGAAAAAATCTGAGGATTATGTTGATAATTATTATAGGTATGTGTGGTAATATTCTAACTATGTTGCTCTGTTTTGTTCATATATGTGTGGTACCAATTCTGTTATATTTCTCTTTCTTTTCTTTATAAGAAATCAACTTTTATGGAGACTTACTCAAACATTGTGTTTCCAACCAATAGACCACAATTGTGGCTTTTAGATGATCGGAATACAGTTACACCACTTGTGAGAGAAGTGCCAATATGCCATCCAAAAAAGCAAATAAACAAAACATGTTATGAACCAAAAAATCCCCCATATACTTCCAAATAGACTTTCAATTGTAACACGAGCAAAAGTGTGGAGCTATGAGACATAGAATAAAGAGTTGCAAAGGAAAGAGGACTGGTGATAGGAAAATTCCAAAGGATGGTAATAACTCAAATAAATCTAAGAAAGTGAAGGGTGGAAAAGGAACAAAGAAGGCCAAAGAACAGCAAACAGAATTGCTCAAAGTTCAGAAGCACTTCAACCAACTCAACCTACTCAAGAATAAAGACTTTGATTGTAGTTTTAAGTAGTGACTTTAGTTTTATTTTGGCTATAATGTATAGATCTTAAGTAGTTTCATTTTGAATCAAGTAGTAACTTGAGTTTTATTTTGGTCCAAATGTTTTCTAAAATTCTAGTACAAGCAACACATACCAACAAAATTGTCTTAACAACAGATGATGTTGAGAGAGATGTTACAACATCTGGTAACAAACCAGATCAATTAAACTGAATATGATACAGAAAATAAAACTATGGAATGATAAATAACATAATGAGTTGTTAACCCAGTTCAGTGCAACATCACCTACTTTAGGGGATACCAAGCCAGGAAAGAAATTCACTATCAGCAGAATTAGTTCAAAGCTAAACTCCCTCGTTTACAACTTCTCGCCTAATCACTACACAACACAACTTCAA